TCGTGTTGAAGAAAGGCAGACCTTGATTTCCCAGCTGAATTCCCTTGCTGGAAAGCCATTTTTTCTCAAAGACCATTTGTCGCGATTTAGCCTCTGCAGCATGACAAGGATGGTTTTGAGCAACAAGTATTTTGGTGAATCAACAGTTAGAATAGAAGATTTGCAGCGCCTGGTAGATCAATGGTTCTTACTTAATGGTGCTTTCAACAATGGAGATTGGATTCCATGGCTCAGCTTCTTGGACCTACAAGGCTATGTGAAACAGATGAAGGCTTTGAAAAGAACTTTTGATAAGTTCCACAACATTGTGCTAGATGACCACAGGGCTAAGAAGAATGAAGAGAACAACTTTGTCCCAAAGGACATGGTTGATGTCTTGTTGAAGATGGCTGAAGACCCTAACCTGGAAGTCAAACTCACTAATGACTGTGTCAAAGGGTTAATGCAGGTTAGTTCCTAACTAGGGTTATAAAATAATTTCTCAATATTTTCTCTTGTTTTAGACAAAATGCTAACCTTGTTAGACTATGGCAGGATTTACTAACTGGAGGAACAGATAGCTTGACAGCAGCAGTGCAATGCGCATTTCAAGAACTTCTTAGACAGCCAAGGGTTATTGAGAAGGCAACCGAAGAGCTTGACCGGGTTGTCGGGAAGGAAAGATGGGTAGAAGAGAAGGATATTGACATGGATGGACATAACTTTGCTTTGGCTCGGGGCGAACGAGGTGTCCTGGCTATAGCCTTGGACTTAAGGTTATCCGAGCAACGTTAGCCAACATGTTGCATGGATTCAGCTGGAAATTACCTGAAGGTATGAAGCCAGAAGATATAAGTGTGGAAGAACATTATGGGCTCACTACACATCCTAAGTTTCCTGTTCCTGTGATCTTGGAACCTAGACTGTCTTCAAATCTCTATTCCCCTATCACTTGATCCTAAGTGCTTCCTGTTATAGCTATATCTTTATTCCTGAGCCTATGATATTGGAGTACACTCAAAAGTGAAGAACTTTTAGATTTTTGTCTATTTCTGTTTTCTGAATTAGTTTATTCAAGAACAAAAGAAGACATCTATGAATAAAAAAGAGTTAGTTGTTATATCTGATTTGCTTTAGTATTTTATTTGACAAGAACTTCCAATAGTCCCACAGCCATCGCTCCACTTTCTCACCGCAAAGAGAAAATAAAAGTTAGTTTACTTTTCAACATAAGTGGAATGGAATAACAACTGAAGGACTACTTTTTGTCTTTTAGAAGTCACCTCAGTTTCAAATGGTCAGTTGAATCTTCACACTCCAAGCTGAATTCTCTTCCACTTTACAAGCATACAGCATACAATTTTAGACCAGGACGACGTACTTGACTAGAAGATTTTGTCTCATATGTGGTCTTCCAATCAATTATTCCATGGAAAAGCCCAAAGCCTTGTCAATTTTAACTGTTTAATTAACCACTTTGTACGCGGTGAAATCAGAGGGCCTGATTTCTCGCTATCAAGCCATCTCGGGAGAATGCCTCGAGACCCCGAGGACACGGGGCTACGACTTAGTCCCCTCCCTCGGGGCTCGTCGAGGCCCGATTCGAAGAAGACGGAGGTCGAGGCTAGAACAGAAGGGGAAGTTCCCAGGGCACATAGCTAAGTCTGACAGAGCCGGCCTATTCAGAGCCTATGCTGAGGCATCGCGTCAAGCCATCCCATCTCCATACTTTGTAATTAATGACCACGCACTTGTAGCCGAGTTCCCCTCCTATATAAAGGGAACTCACCCTACCTTGTAAGGGACTGGTATTGCTCCATTTCTCCACAAGTGCAATAATATCTCTCTCTCTCTCTCTCTCTCTCTCTCTTTCTCTTTTCTTTCTAAACTTGTTCGTTCTTATTGGCCCGAGGTCGCCTCGATATCCATCGCTTTCATACTAGTCCTTCATCGTATTACTTAATATTGGCAGTAAAGAGCCTTGTTTGATTATATCTTCAACTGTTATCCCATCCCCGACTATCCCCGATAGCTCGAATTCGACCCTGACGTCGTCCCCGGGGTCCCCCATCGACCAGACCTATACTTGGGCAACAAGCCCCTCGGTTTGATTACTATCTCGTTTTAGCTCGAGTTTCATCGTTAAACTCCATATTATTAGCATCACCTGCTCTAACAACTAGCTCGGGAATAGATCACGTATTTTTAGAATCTCATTTACAAATTTAATTGTTGTTACCATTTTCACGGTAAACAGTTTGGTGCCCACCGTGGGGCTATAAATAATAGTGATTATTTTCTTGCTAGTTTCATTGCACAAACGCACATTATCTTTCACACTTTTTCTTGTCCAAGATCCTTTGATTTCAGGTCGAAATGTCTGGCTCGGTAAACGGAGTCGAGAACGACTACCTCGAAAATCACGGGGAAAATGGCGTGGCTGTCCCTGCCGCCGGAGCACCTGTACAGAATCCCGATAACGAGCCCGGACCGGTTCTAGCGGACGCAGATTCACAAGACGCGCAACAGGTCGATGATGCCTCGCACACCGATGGGAGCATTCAGCATATCGACCAACAGGAAGTCCAACAAACCCCGGCTCGGGAAGCACAGGAAGTTAGTCTTCATGACATTTTTGAAATGTTGCAGGCACAACAATTGGCTATCGCTCAGCTATGGAGCCATCCAAAGACTCCCAGCACAGTAGCGTCGAAAACAGCTCCCTACGCCGAACGAGTACCTGAAATATCAAACAACAACAGATCGATAACAGACCCCGACATAGCAAAGATGCTTGGGGATCTCTCCAAAAGGATCGAGTCAGGTTCGTGGAGATTCATGCGACAGTTCTCACCCGGGGGAGCGGTCCAAGAACCCGCTTCACAGAAATCCGGAACGCCGGAACTCCCCAGGTGCGACGGGACCTCGGATCCCGACGAGCGCACCACCGCTTACACATGCACAGAGAAAGGCAGCGACCTTCAAGATGATAAGTTCGAGACCATCTCGTTGAAGAAGTTTGGGGAAACACTCTCGAAAGAAACCATGGTGTGGCGCCGCAGCCTAGCGCCCGACCTCACAAATTCGCTTACCGCACCGGCAGATCCCTTCGCAGAAGCATACGCCGATGCCATCGAAGTAGTAACGGGAGAGCACGACACGTCGGAGGCCGAACAAAGAGAGAATGAAACACCACAGGAAGTCGCGTTTCATTCCCTGGTAGGACGAATGAGACCGCTCCCAGTTTCGGATGGATGGACAACCTAGGCCTTCGCCCGAAGTTTAAACGAAGCATGCCCAACGACTCCAGGTCCTTTTAAACGACGCCTAGTCACATACCCAGCCGAGACCTGGCCGTATGTCCATACCCGGCATCGACCACGAATCAGGGCCATGAATCCAGAAGCCTCTACGGGCCCAGTATACCCGAGCAGGCTCCCAGCGAAGAAACTAATGCCAAACAGATGGAGGTACCATCCATGCGCCGCGAATGGGAGGAACGCCACAAGATGCAACCTACCTCGCAACAGTAGGGAAATAGTTCGAGGGAAACATCCTCAAGGAACCTTCAGTGGAACCGGATCTGACGAGGCACAACCGGCAAAGGAACCCCTCCTAGTAGAATACGGTTTCAACATTGCGATACCAAATATCGTGATCACCATAAGCAAAACCAGGGACGCTGAGCGACTCAGGCCTATTCGACCAAGACCCTTTCAAAAAAAACCGCAACCCGATGCGGGAACCACAGGGCGCGCGCGGCCACAGGGTCAAAAATGACCCGTATCTCGGAAAGACGACAACCGTGTTACTCAATAAAAATCATCACCGAGTACCATCGAGCGGTCAGGCTCGAGTACAGCCCCAAGGAAGGAAGGCAACCGGGAAGGATGAAGTGAACAAGCCACGACGTATTACCACGAGAGTGAAGGAACGACGACACCCTCCGAGGACTCATGACATGGGAAGTGAAAATGTTCGCCGTCAGGGAAAAAAGAGTCCAGGGAAGTATTTCGGAGGACACCTTTACACCTATGGAAAAGGGCACCAAGACTCCGCCCCGACGTCATACCGATGCATTGGTAACCCTCTCCCTCATTTAATTTATCTTAAATAAAGCATGTGTTCGTGAATTCAGGTAGGTTCGGTCACGTACAACAACAATGTCAGACCAAAGTCAGTGGGGCGGTCCGAACTAACGGACCAAATCGCCCCCCATCTCGAATCCCTGGCGAATTCTAAATGACGAATTGCCACAAAGACCATTCTCTTGATATAGCCCGACTGAGTTCGGGCTGGGACGTCGAGCTCTATACCATCAGAGGAGGGGCAAATCATGGACGTCTTATTCAGACGACCGCCGGCACACTACTCGAGGACACCGTCGGCCCATCTCACCAAAAGAATGAAATCTCTCGCAAAAGGCAGAACTAAAATGAGTCGAAGGGGGTAATACGCGATAAGAGGAAATTCTTCACCATATGGCGCGTCGCCAGCATCAATGCCCCTAATTCTTCATCATATGGCGCGTCGCCGGCATCAATGCCCCCACCCTCGGAAGGACCAAAGGGTAAGCAAACCACATCTTCGGCCAAGCCTGATAAGGCACGGTGGAGGACTGAACCAGGGCTCGCGCCCCGAAAGGATAGGAACATACCAAATCTCAAAATGTCGCCTATACATCCTGCGGTGAGGAAGGACTACTTTACTCCCTTGTTATTTTTTCACTAACCTGTATGCAGACAGCTGGCCAGGATATTCGGAGGCTCTAACTCTACTCGGATATCCCTAGGCCTTAAAAGGGGGGGGGGGGGAGGGGGGCGCCGCGCTTTTTCCCCTCAGTCGGGCATCCGCACCAGAGAGGGCCTTGTCAGCAAGATTATTAGCGGAGCAACATACCCCCAAAAGAGGATCTAATAGGGCCGCAGACCTTCTTCTACAGCCCAACGACGAGCGATGATCTGCTTCTAAGGGCACCGCCCCCTCGGGAGGACCGGGAAACGGCAGACTAAACCCCAATCGGGAATTATTAACCGGGTCGAATGGACGGAGAAGCCGCGCCCGCGTGGGTTGAGCTCACGACGATGAAACAATGTATGTCTGTACCAAGCAATAAAAGGATATCTTTTCAGCATTTTATTCTCCAGACAAGGAAATCTCAAATATACCCCCGACAGGGGCCCGCTCCACCAAATGCATTCAGAAATACTCGGAGACTTAACGTCAACAATTTGGCACTCACACGACCCCAGGGTCGAAACTCCAGGCTCATAAAGCCCCTACAAGGCAGCTCCGAGTTCACAAGAAGCGGTCTTCACGCTTAAACAACTTGATGACTCGGAGACTGTCGTCAATCGCCATGCGCTGGAAAACCCGAAACTGTAAGACCCCTAGCGGGCAGACTCGGCGTAACCAGATCCATTCTACATTGCAACAAAAACTGTAAGACCTCGACAAGCATGACAAACTGTAAGACCTCAACATGCATGAAAATCCCAAAGTTTAGGCTATACGTCGTATTTGTAAGAATCCCGAAAGGGCATACCCTCGGTGTAGACGCCTAAACTATCACTCAGGATCAAAAATGGCTCCGGCCAAACACATATGACTATGGTCAAAAATGGCTGAAACAGCCAAACTAACACGACTCGGGGACGCTCGACCGTCGCTAAACAAAAATCGTAGGCCACTAATTCGAATATACTTCGAAAAGAACCGGTTAAAATAGGCTTCCCTCAACAGGCAAAAACGAGCTTCGACCATGTCAGCTCCAAGTCACAAGGCTTCGACCTACTCAACCTACGAGCTATGAACCTTCCGAAGTGCTCAAAACATCGCCAATAACGACTTGAAATCGAGGTTCTTCCAGAACCAACGACGGGTTAGGCAAAAATATTTTAAACGACCTTAACGAGTGTAAAACAAAGGCTACAAAAAGCCCACGGGCAAAAACAGCGTAAGAGCCGTTGCCGCCAGCTATGCAAGCCTCCGGGCCACATATTATAAGTGTAAGAGCCATTGTCGCCAGCTAAAAAATTGACAACTTGAGGATTAAAGTGAGCTCGTATCGTAACCCGATTCGGAGACCAGATCCAAAATAGTTAACTAAGCAAGCCTCCG